CACACACACACACACACACACACACACACACACACACACACACACACTGGCTGGTAAGTTCCCTTCACATCTGCATTGACCTCCAAAGTTCCTGCTCAAATCTTCAAAATTCATTCTTGAGAATGATCCAGGCCTATTCTTCCCAGGTGGATTACCCAACTGGCAATAATTAATAACATTTAAAGAGAAGTCTAATTTCTAATTCAAAAAACTGCTTTACAGTTATTAAAGGAGTCTCCTATTTGCACCACTATCAGGTAAGCATTATTATACCCATTTTCCAAACGAGGACCTGTAGGCTCCTGGCTTTGCTTTGTCCATACCCCCTAGGAGCAGTGAGCTGAGACTTGGGAGAAAGAACTCACCTGCTGACTAGGTAGTTGTCCAGATTCCCAAATCCTTCCTTTGACCCTGACCTTGGAAGAGAGCTGGGGGTGGGGTTAAAAAAAGAAGGAAGCCACCTCTTAGAAAAAGCCGCTCCCTCCCCATCCCCCCATCCCCAGCTAAAAGGTCAAAATATCGGCTTGTACAAACTTGATTTTTCCTCACCTATTATTTTCAATTTTAATATCTAATTTGCTTATTACAAAATACATTGTCTAGTGATTTTTGAACCTGTTTGGTTATTATGTAGATCAAATGAGGTAACATACAGCACTCAAACAAAGCTAGCTGTTATTAGTATGTGAGACCTGAAGTAATGGACTTCCTTATTGTTGAGGCTTTGCATATTCAATGTGTGGACACTGGTGTGGACAGGCTGGGCTTGGGGGAGAGGTGGGGATTGGGGCACAAATTTAATGATGAGATGAGAGCTTAAGAGGGTATTTTAATGAGGGCCCTGAAAGAAAGGAGGGAAGGAGCCAGTTCTGGGAATATACTACTAATAAACTTAAGCTTGTGGGTGAGGCGGGAAGCCATTTTCCTTGCCCTGAAAGGCTACAGTAGGCTGAATTGGAAAGGAAAGGCACGCCGTGGAAGGAGAGTACGTTGTCTGGGAAGCCCAGCCCCCTCACATAAGCAGGCAGGTCTTCAGACTCCAGAGTGCCTTGTTGGCCACTGACACCTGGTGGTTCTATCATTGATGACTCAGGCAGGAAGCATCTGGGGTGGGATCTGAACCCAGGTCTCCTGACTCCAGGTTTAGAGTTCATTTCATTATCCCACTATATTCCATGAGTGGTTTAGTGGGAAAATCAGTTGGTTTGGGCTCTGTGATCTTGGTGAAAACCACTTCTCACTTGTGGCCCACTGTTTTCCTATCCGGGAAGTAGATTAACTTAAAGGTACCTGTTTGCTGTGACATTCTGTGTTCTATATTCCAAGGATCCTCCCAGCTCTGATACTATGCTCTCTGTTCTAAGGCTCTTCCTAGCTCTGACCTTTCTCTGTTCCAAGGACCCTCCTGTCTCTGAAATTCATTATAGTCTAGGTTCCCCACCCACCCATGTCACATTTTTTATTCTTCATTCTGAGCACTCTGTGTTGCAAGTCCTTTTCACCTTACAATTCTGTGGTTTATGATTAAACTGGAGAGAAAGGGATGGGGGAACCCTTCTTTGGGAAAATAAAGAATGACCATGTTCTGAGCCCCTGTAAAGGACATACAGGCCAGAGTCCACTGGGGCCAGTTAACTAACTCCATGACCATTACATCCACTCAGCGTTTCCCCTAAAGCACCTCAGCTGCTCAGTTACCTATAAACCTCAGGATGGGCCTGGTGTACTAGTCCTGTTCCCTCTGCCCAGCCCTTGGACCAGTCTCTAATGGTTCTTCATTAATGATTTCCCCTGGAAGTCAACAGGACTGAGGGCTGTTTATGAGAGGAGCAGGGGTACAGGAAGCTAGCTTTTGCCTCTGTGGGAACTGGATTCCAGATCCCTCTGGTCCTGGCCTATAACCTACACTCCAAGCCCTGAACCCTTTTTTATCTTCCTGGAAATCCCCAGTGCAGACCCAGCAAGTTTCAACAAACAGAGCCAACAGGGCTCTTTGCAAGGTTGGGAAAACTGGAAGGAGGAAAAGAGGTGATTCCTATGGATGTGTTGGGTGTCCTGGCTGTCCACAACCTAGAGAGTGAGCAATGAGTATGTTTGTGAAAGGAGGAGGACATAAGGTTGGGAAAGGAAGGGGGAGGAGGGCGAAGAAGAGGAAAGGGAGCGAGAGAGAAAGAGCACAGTAAATTGGGTGGAGAGGTGGAGAAAGAGACAGAGAGAGATAGAAAGACACACACAGAGACAGAGACAGAGACAGAGAGACATAGAAAGATACACACAGAGACAGAGACAGAGAGAGACAGAGACAGAGAGAGATAGAAAGACACACACAGAGACAGAGACAGAGAGAGACAGAGACAGAGAGACATAGAAAGACACACACAGAGACAGAGACAGAGAGAGACAGAGACAGAGAGACAAAGAAAGACACACACAGAGACAGAGACAGAGAGACATAGAAAGACACACAGAGACAGAGACAGAGAGACATAGAAAGACACACACAGAGACAGAGAAAGAGACAGAGAGACAGAGAGACACAGAAAGACACACACAGAGACAGAGACAGAGACAGAGACAGAGAGACATAGAAAGATACACACAGAGACAGAGACAGAGAGAGACAGAGACGGAGAGACATAGAAAGATACACACAGAGACAGAGACAGAGAGAGACAGAGACAGAGAGACAGAAGGATATGCACAGAGACAGAAACAGACACAGACACACAAAAAGACATTCAAGTAGACACAGACAGACAAAGGCAGGAGCCTTATAGGCAGGCTGGTTTATCAGAAGGGACTCTTGCAAAAAGAACTCTGTACTGGGTATAACAGGGCCTGGACTTAAATTCCTTGCCACTTGTGCATTTTTAGGAAAGACACTTACCAGTCCACTGCTTGAGCCTTGGTTTTCTTAGATTAGATATCTAAGGCACAGATATTTACTGATTAGGTGACCCTATTCTATGCACCTCAGTTTTCTTACCCACAAAATGGAGATTCTAATACTTGTAACCCTAATCTCACATGACTGGTTGGAATCTAGAAATACCAAGAAAAGAGGTGGAATTCTTTGGGGCATGTGTGTGATAATTCAACAAACATTAATTGAAAGCCTTCTTTATGGAAGGCCTTACACTGTGGAATAAGGGAGACACATACACAGGTAACTCTGATACACAATATCACATGGTTAGGCTATCAGAGAGGAGTGAAGTATCATGGGAAGTGTGTGTGTGTGTGTGTGTGTGTGTGTGTGTGTGTGTGTGTGTGTAAAGGCAGCATAGTAGAGTGCACAGAGAGATGATCTTGAGTTGGGAAGGGGAAGGGTTCCACATGCTGGCTGTGTGACCCTTGGCAAGTTCCTTCAGGCAACTCTGTAAGACTGGAAATTGCCAAGAAGGTTCCTTCATTGGTGAAAGGTGTTTTTTCACTGGAGAATGCCTTTACATCCCTGTGTGGCATCACCAGGGTGGTCCCTATTCCCATCTTATGTATTAGTGCAATAGACTATCAGGAATGGTGGTGACCTTCCCCTATTGGAGGTGCTCAAACAAAGACTAGCTGGCCATTTGTTAGAGATGTCCTGGAGGGAATTCTTGCTCAGGTACAAATGGGATGAGATGACAGTCAGGGCCCCATCAGGTCTAATGTTCCTTGTTTTATGTTTTAAGGTCTTTCCCCACTTTGGCACTCTGTGGTTCTAAGGTCTGTCTCTCTCCCTCAGGTCTGACATTCTCTGTTCTAAGGCCCTTCTCAGCTCTGACATCTTGTGCTCTTTGTTATAAAGTCCCTCCGGGCTCTGATATTCTAGGTTCTAGACTCTAAAGTCCTTTCCAGGCTGTATGATACATTATGGCATGTGGATAATGAGAATGAAGTGTTGATTATTCTCTGTTCCATTTCCCTTGAT